AAATTAATTAAGAAAAAATAATACATATTTATTAATATATATTATTAATACATTATTATTTAAATTTTTCTAATATTTGATTTAATATATATTTACTAACAATAGTAATAAGAATAATAAAATTACTATTAAAATATTTGAAATAATAAAATTAAACTATTAAAATTAAACTATTAAAATTAATTGAAATAATAATACATATTTTCATAAATTTGATATATATATATCTGTGAACGAATATAAGAAGAAAAATGAAAACAAAGACGGAGGGAAAGATAAAATGAAGAGGAGTATTTCACAAGGGGCCCGCATGCTTGCTGATTGAACCCATGAGTAACAACACTCCTCTGTCCCCCTCGCCATTTGTGTCCCCCTTCTCTTCCATGCCCACTCGATCATCCATTCCAACGATGACTTCTTCCAGGCTAGGGTAGGGAGTTGTCTGACGTCATTCTCCAACGTCTGTCAGCGAGCCGACCCTCTGAGTCATGCCGTTTTGCCTACTCTTTTGCTTATAGCAGAATATCGAGACTCGGCAAGGTCTCTCGTGATCATGTCGCTAAATTATCACTTAAGAAAGATTCCTAGCTTATCATTAAAATTTTTTTCTCTTTCATATAAATTTTAAAACTTTTCAATTTCAATTTTTCTTATAATAAAAATAATAAATTATTTTAATTTAATTGTAATATTATATTCTTTCTAATATAATAATATATCAATATTATTTAATTTTCTATATAATACGTAATAATAATATGATAATTATATAATAATAATATTATTTATATAATTTTATGAAAAAATAGATATAATTTTAAATTTTAAAAATAGATATAAAAGAGAAAAATAGATGTAAAATGAAATATACTTATTTTTTTTATAAAAAAGAATTTAGAAAAACTAATATAATATTTAATTTATTTATTTTTAGAGTTGTGCAATGATGGGTCTGCAGGCCACGGCAGGGAAACGTAAACTGGAGGGAGGTGTGGGCTGCATGGAGTTCGACATGGATATGGGCGAAAGCCCATCGAAGTTAGGCCGAGTGGAGGGTAGCTGGTGGGCGATGGAGGATAGTTACACGCCCCCGCTTAGCCAAACACCAGCTTCTTATTACGATATGGAAGTGAGTCCGCCTTGCCTGCAGACAAATCCTTGTCAACCAACATCGACGAGTCCTCAACAACAGCAGCAACAACAGCAACATCAAACGGCACAGCAACAACAGCAACAATCATCGACGCCAACATCAGCGCCTCCACCGTCTACGGTGGCGCACCTACACCATCATCCGCAGCACTACTATCACCATCAACGCGGACCTACTAGTCCGGTCGGTAATAATGGTTACAGTCAACTGTCGAGGCCTCAGCCGCAATGGGGAGCGCCTCATCATTATGAACCTCCAACGATACGGCGAGAAGAAAACGGAAAAAGTTATTTGGAGCTTGGATCTAGTTATCGAGCAAATGATAGATGCTGCGAAGGTTCGAGGTCAAGTTGGTGTCGACGTGGCAGAGCGTGTTATAGACAAAGACGACTAGCCGTATTAAATATTTCAATGTGCAAGCTGGCGAGGTATCGCCAATTTCCGGATCCGAGCCTTCATCGATCGGTTCTCATCTGCAATACATTGAGGCATCTAGAACGCGAAATGGAGAGGGACAGAAGTCCACCGCCCATGGAGCCAGTTATACCAGCACCTATTGCTCAACTTCAACCTCCTGAGCAGGGCAGGTTAACGCCATTTCCAATGCCACCAACGTCTTCAAACGAGACAGACGTCGATTCTGGTATCGGTGATAGCGATGATAGTCGTTCGATTAACTGGGGCAGTGTGCTATCTCTTTCGAGTCAGTCGCCTTTAGATCCCCTAAACAACAACGAGTTACTGGATGTCGATATTGGTCCGGATCTAGATTTAGACTTCATGCCTGGATGGAAATTGACACCTCTATCTGCGGACGATATTCTTAGGAGTACAACGGCGCAAGAACAGCAACATCAGCAACATCATCATCATCAGCAACAGCAACAGCATCTGGTGTCAACCAGCGGTAGCTGTGCCAATAGCAATGTGGCCAGTGCCTGCGTTAGTACTGGAAGTAGCAGTAGTACGCACGAATCGTTAATGTGCGTTGGATCATAGCCCCCAATTTTGACATCGTTGAGTCATCTCATCGATTTTTACCCACTGATGCCGCAGAGCAAATAAGTATGCGGCATTTACAAAGAACCACAAATCAAGATGTAGAGACGACGCAGTCGCCCGCCTCACGAATTATTTGCAACGCCTGGACGGCGATTCTCCAGGAGGTCTTCTTTTTCTTATTTATTACCATTCGTGTCAATTACGCACCGATCGATTATCTCGGTTACGTTCTACTTCGTATTACACCGGTAACCAGCATGGGTGGTCTACTCCTTATGGGCGAGGAGGTATGAGACGTGATACCTCCTGTGTTCGCAGGTGCAACTGGTGCAGAATTCATGGCCCATTGGAAATATTTAAAATTCAAAGGAAATAGAGGTGATTACAATTTTTAAACCGACGAGTACCTAAACTCACGTTGTTTCAATGATATTTATTTACTAATAATTTAATATTTTATACTTTGTTATTATAATTATATTAGATTTAAAAATTATTTACTATCGATTTAATAGAAATTATTTAAATCT